AAATAATAATTAAATTATTAAATTTGGAAAATTTAAATGGGGTAGATAATAAGGGAGAAAAAATTACCTCCATTCTGTTGCCTAACTGTATTCCTTCCGGTGTAAAATTTATTCCTTTTCTTATTTTAATAAAAGGATCAAAAACATTTTGTTTATCAATACAATCATTTGGCGGTTTGCAAAAAGGACAACACTCAAAGGAAAAATTATATTTTGTGTAATAGTTTCGCGTCATTATACCAATTTTTTTTTTCTTTTTTTTTTTATTAATTTCAATTTAATTTTGAAATTTATTAAAAAAAAACGAAACGAAAATTTTTTTTTTGAAATTTTCTTTTTCGCATTTTTTTTTGTTTTTTTTTTTTTAAATATTTATTTATTAATTTATGTTTACATTAAATTTAAAAAAAAAAAAAATGAAAACTAGATTTTCCGGAATAAAGAAAAAAAAAATTCATCATTTAATGATCGTAATTTAATTTTAATTTTTTTCTTTTTGTATCTTTTTCCGTATCTTTGTGTTTAATAAAAAATAATAATTTTTAACACAATAAGTACGGAAAGGGATTATTATTATTATTACTACTAATTAGTTAGGATGCACATAAATGATTAATCCTTATATCTCCCCTTGTTGCAAAAAAGTCCAATAGCCTCCATTGAATGGCATTATTACAAAGGGCAAAGTAAATAATAAAAAATAATATAAGTAATTATTTCAATTCATATCTTATTCATGATGAATGTCAATAAAAAAAAAAAAAAAATTTACGTAAATAAGGGGAAAGAAAGAAAACTGGATTGGAAAAATTATCATCAAATTTTCCTCGATAATTTTACCACAAAAAAAAAAATAATTATAAAATCAAAACAAAAGCATGAAAATTTTTTTTTAACATATTTAATCATTAAAAAAAACAAAAAAACATTTCTACGTATCGAATAATATTATTATTGACTTTGTCAAATTTTTTAAGTACATAAAAAAAAATTAATAAATATTATTGTTAGATGCATGTTAATAATTAATAATAGTTTATATGTAATTGGAAATTTTAGCTTCTGAATACTGTGAGTAATAAATTTTATATTAAATTAATCGTTACCTAATTTTTTTTTACAAATCTACAGAAAATTTACAAAAAACAAAATTTATAGTTTAAATGAAAGTCTATATAGATTTAATGAGAGTTAGGATAATCTATATTTTATAGAACTTCACTATATTTATACTAAAAAATTATTTAATTACTGTACATAAGAAAAAATATAAAAATTATTTTTTATTATATTATATTAAAATGATAAAAAGCAAAAAGTAATAAAGATTTAATTTCATATTTTGGTAGATCCTTATACCTTTTTTTTTTTTTTTTCTGTTAAATTTAAACAATTTAATTTTTTTTATATAGCAAAAAAAAAGGAGTCGTAACGTCCTTTCATTAGTTTATTCTTACGATGATTTCGAATGTTTTCATGCAGACAAGGATATCAAATGTTTGGAGTAACAACATCATTCGTTGCAACAAGAAGTGGATTGTTAAGATGGAAAGATCATGGAAATTCACCTTCGGATATTTCTTCTCCGTAATTTTTCTTTTTTTTTTGTATTAATTTCTTTTTTTAAATAATAAAATAAGTTTATTATTTCATGTTAAATTTTATTGTCAGGCATTTTAGTGAGACCAATAGAAGAGCAATCGACGAATTGTGGTATAAAAGAGCAGTTCATCAACACACGATCGAGCCAGAAAGTTTTGTATTTTCTGTACCTTTTGATGCTGATATGCAAAAAAGACCATTGGTAACTGCAACTCATGCTGTTTTTGTCGAACACAAAGGACATAGAGCTCCTGCTGCTGTCGTCGGTCTTCAATTTCAACATTCCACGTTGGCATCACATTTTATTAACATCACATCAGCGGTATATATAAATAAATTTTTTTTTTTTCTGCAGGATGAATTTTTAAATTATTTAATTGATTTTTTTTTTTTGGTCAGTGTACCGGAGGAATAGAATGCAGAAGAAATTGCGCTTCTCCTGAATTAGATTGTTACGTATTAGATAATAACGGATTCATAATATTGTCAGAATCGTCTGAACATACCGGAAAATTTTTCGGTCAAATTGATGGTACCATAATGGATTCTTTAGTTCAAGATAGAATTTATAAAAAAGTAGCAGTCTACGATTATCAGGGTGCTTGCTACGACGAAAAATCTCCCTACAGCGATTCAGCTTCTTTTTCATCGGTAAGTAAAATCGAAATAATCGTGGAAACCTTAAAAAAAAAATTACGGAAAATTTATAAAAATTAAACTTTACAGCCTTTTCAACCGGCTAAAATGCTAATTTACGGAATAATAAATAATTTAAAATGGATTTTGACTCAAACTAATTTACACTACTGGCTACTACCATCTTGGGTGGAAGGATTTAGTTACACTTCAGACGACGACGAAGACGATCTTGATTACACGGATGATTATGAAAATAGTCCGTTCGATTCCTATGGAGAAAATGAAAATTTGATACCGACACTAAACGAAAAAATTCCAGAGCAGTCCGTGAATAATATAAACATTCAACCTGAAATTGTTTATCCGGTTAACGTAAATCCTTCGCCCGGAAAAAGATTTTCGTCGAATAATTCATCTCCCCGTCCCTGCGACAAGAGAGTTTTTTTGTACAACCTTCAGCCTGATAGGCTCAATACAAGTGGAATATTTAATCCATTAAAAGGAAAATTAACGAATTGTCATGCGAGTGGTTGCGAAAGGTAAAAAAAAAAACCATTTTAATGTAAAACAATTCAAGCGTCGAAAACCTTAAAATCCTAACATTATTATTATCATTTTTTTTTTCAATCGCAGGCCTTTTAGTGTACAAAAAATACCGCACAGCAATTTAATACTATTAGTTGTAGACACTCTTTGCCCTTGTGGTAGCAAACAGTTAAGTATAACTCCGCAAGAGGTTATCTGGGATGGAACTTCTTGCAGGAGGAAACCGCAAGAATCTTTGTATCGAAGAAGACCTCCTAAATGTTTAAATTACCATCCCGAGGTAAACTTTTGTTTGTCGATTATAAACTATTTATTTCGTTTACTACAGAAGAAAAATTAATCGAATTTTGTTTTTTTTTTTTTTTTTTTTAAATATAAAATTAAAAGGAAATTGAAATCCATCACTGCGGGAAAGCCTGTGGGATTTTAGCGTCATCATTTACATTGTTGTCTATTTCTTTAATGGTGACTAATATAAACACACTTTATGGATATTTAAGCTGGACTTCATTATTATTGTTTAGTTAATAATTATATAAAATAATTATTTAAAATTTAAAAATCAAGTTTATCTTGTTATTATATATATTAAAAAAAAATTAATTAAAACAATATGAAAAAAAAAAGCTTTAAATTATTTTGGTGACAATATTAATTAAAAAAAAAAGGAGAACAAAGTGTTGTCAAAACTGTTTAAGAGTTGTCAGAATATTTAAAGTCATTTTGTGAAATTAAATTTTGAAATTTAACAAAAAAAAAAATTAACAATTATCACATATCTTTATTTTAAAGCATGCAAAATTACAATATTAAAAAATTTTTACATCCCAATAATATAAAAACTCTCTCATAAATCGAGTAAGAAATATATTAAATTATAATTAAATTAAATTTAAATTAAATTCAGTATTATTAAATATTACATTTTTAATGCACATTTAAAAGCAAAACGTGCAAGAGTATTGTATTATTATTATTATCATTAATTTTAAATTTATATTAAAAAGCGCGGGTAATTTAATAAGAATTTCAAAAAAAAATATACTCTTGCATTTATTTAAATAAAATTCTATGTAAAAAAAAATTATTAACCGTAAAATTAAATAAATATGAATTTCAATGATTGTATATTTTAATGGCAGCAAAATGGCCTTAAATAATTATGTAAATATATATATATATATATATATATATATATATATAATATATATTTATATATATTAATACTATTCGAAAAACATTTGAAACCAAAAAATTAATAATATTATTATTATTATTATATTTATAATAATGTTTTGCAAAAAAAAGAATTTATTTAAAAAAAAAAAATAAATAAATAAATAAAAAAAATTGTATTAAGTCTTCCATTACTATTTAAAATATTTTTTAAAATATTATTTAGGTTTAAATAAATAAATAAATAAATAATAATAATAATAATAATAATTTAGCTTTTAATAATAAAATAGTAATTTTAAAAAAAAAAAAAAAAAATTATATATATACATATGAACACAAAATCAAAATAAATTTAAAATGTTAAAAAAAAAATGTTTTTTTTTTTATTGAATTTAAATTTATTATTATTATTATTATTATTATTATTATTATTATTATTATTAAAAATTAAATTTAAATTAAATTGAATTAGATTTTAATAAAAAAAACAATAACTCAAAATAAATATAAAAAAAAAAACTCAAATTTTTCAAATGAGAAAAAAAAAATTTAAAAATAATAATTGTAAAAAAATGATAATAATAGTAATTTTATTCAACCCTAAATATTTTTTTAATATAATAAATTTATTTATTTGTAATAATAATAATAATAATAATAACGTAAAATGTAATTGATAACTCATTAAATAATTTATAATTTAAGTGATTGATTGATTGATTTTCTTGCTTTATACTTAAATATCAATAATTAATATATATATAATGTATTTATTAATTAGATTTTATACATAAACAATTTTTTAAACAGAATTGTGGCTATCGAAAAATTATAAATGTTAAAGACTTTAAATCACACACACACACACAAAATTATATAAATAAATAAATAAATTTTTAATAAAGTTTTAAAAATCTTTTTCTACTTGTACAAAAAAAAAAAAAAAATTGATTATTATTGTACGTTGAGTCGCAAAAAAACGACGGGTTTAATAAAAAAATAGTTTAAATCAAATTAAATTTTATGCTCTTTGTTAAAAAAATAAATAAAAATAAAGGAATGAGCATTAATTATTAAACTTTGTTAAAATTCAAAATGGCGTTACTTATAAGAGTAGTAATGATAAGAAGCATTGCTAAAAGACAATACTGAATTTATTTTTAAATAAAAAGATAATGTCTTAACGATATCGAGAAATAAATAAACATTTATAAAATTTATTCTATATTAAAATGTGTCTAAAAAAAAAGATAATAGTAATAAGTAAATTTGAATTTTTTTAAAATGTGTCATTCGTGACGTCATCACCCTTGACTCAGAAAATTGTCGCCGATTGTAATGGGCAGAAACCGTTAAAAATTATTAACATTTAAGTTGGCACTCCCGATTGCAGTAAAATGGAAGACGTTGTGTGGATGGTGTATGTTTTGTGTTTAAATTTTTTTAACTTCATTTTTACTGAATGAATGGCAATTAGTATTTTGTTATAATTATATTTTAATTTTTAAATGTGGACGATGTATCAATTTAACGGATTACATTACATTCGTTACAAAAAATACTTTGTCATCGATCTGTGGTATGTATGAAAGGTCGGCCATGTCAGCGGTTTTGTATAAATCTAACATTATTTTTTATTATAAAATTACTATAAGTATTTTACTATCGTACCGTAGTAAATTATTTTTAACAATTATTCAAACATGCTTCTATTATTTTATTTTCAATACATTACGATTGTAAAGTGCTTGTTTATATTTTTTATTAGAAAACTTGTTAATTATCTATTATAATTCTTTAAAAATTTATTTTCTAATGTTAAACATGAAAAAATGTTTGTTAATAATTTCGTGAATTATTAAGTTTGGAAATTTTCAGTTAAAACGCTATACTACCATATTTTAATATTTGACTCATTATTAAATTTTGTTTTATGTAATCATGAGATAAAAGTATTTGTCATATTAATTTTATTAATTTAATTAGATTATGAGTGTTTTACAAAATTTTTTTTTTAGGGGTTTAAAAATGTTTCGGGATTTTTAACCAATTTTAAACATGTATTTAATCATTCGGTTAAAAAAAATTTTGTAAATTCGGTTTAAGTAAAATCATTTTTTTAAAATTTTAAATTGGATATCTGTTTCTTTAGGTTATTCAATATCCTTGAGTGATGTTGAATTTATATCCATTTGTCTTATTACATGTATGTGTTCTGCGATTGTTTTAACTAAATTTTGTGATCTCTGTTGACATGTTTACGAATGTAAACACTTTTAAATTAAATAATGTTAAAAACAACATGATATTAAAGTTTAAATTATCCCAACCTACTCACAAATTTAAAATAAACTTACTTCCACTTTCATTATTTTAAATATTTTATGCTATATTGGGATTTCTTATTTTTATTTTTAAGCTGTTGATAGTTTTTAGTAAAAATCTGGCTTGCTAGCATTCATAAAACAAATCGTTTTTATTTCAATCGATTATCGTTTGGTTAAATAATGTTTTCGATTTCCCCTTTTAGTTATTACAAATATTTATTTAAATTGTTTTAGTTTTTATAAAGTCAATTTAAAGTTTTTACAATTGTTATTATTTACAAAAAATTAATGCAACCTATTAAGTAACTTCTGCAACTAGTTTTTTTCTTTTTTTTAAAGTGGAAAAATTTTTTCAGGTCAGGGTCGATTCATTTTGTTAAATATTTATATTATATCTTTTATTTTATGTTTTTTTTTTTTAAATTATGTTATTAATTTTATGAAAGTTTTATGTTTATTTTCAGCGAGATTTAAAAAAAAAAAACGTTTTCTTTCTTTCTTGATGAGTTTTTTTTAGTATTTATAAGTTTAAATTACATAATGAATTAACAAGTTTAATTTTTAAACTCTGAATTTTTCTTTTGTAGCACCACATTGTGAATTATTTAAATTTTGCCTTGAACTTTTAATAAGAAAAAAAAAATTCAATTCTTTTTTTTTTTAAGGGTTATGTTGTTGTGAAGCCTTTGAGAAAATCATTTATTTAAACATTTTATTTTTTTTCTTCGACAAAATCAATTATAATTTATAATTTAAATTGACTTTTTTAGCCTATAATAATTTATTGTTGTTGTTGTTGTTGTTGTTTCAATCGAACCAAAAATCATTTTTATCATCTTTCATATTTAAATTTTTTTTTTTAAATTTTAAATAATTATTATTATTAATGTTAGGTGTATAACGAATAAGATGTTTCAAACATATTGCATTTGAATTCACTTCACATTAAAAACTTTTATCAGGATTATTTGAATTTAATAAGTTAATATTATTTATTAAGTTATTTAAAACTTGATTATTTACTTTTACTTCTTACTTACTTACATTTATATTTTGCAATAAATTAAACGTGAA